GGCCCTTGTGCTTGCCAGGGAAGCACTTATTCTACTGAACCATCTCTCTGGCTAGAATGCTCCATTTATAAGATAATGCAATTGGCAAAAAAATGAAAGCCTTTTTGATCATTAAGTGCTTATTTTCCTTTGCACTCCTGAGAGCTTGTCTGGAGGTTCTGGCAGGGGAACTCAGCTCCTCACATACCCTTGACCAAGGCAATGGTGGCCCTCCATCAGGGAAGGCTGTCTTCTCTGAAGGAGTGCACACCTTCATGAAGAAGGCACATGGCATGGGAATAAGGGAAGAGGACAACTGCCGATGCAGCCACATTACCTGAATCAGCAGTGACAGATGTCACAGTCAGATCACTCTCACATCTTTTCTTAGTACCGTTAGAGTTCCCATCTTCTGAGCAAATAATAAAAGTCAGAAGAAGCTCCTTACTTCATTTCTCTTGCATTTACTAGCCTTTAAAATTGGTGTGAAGGGCCAGGGAGATAGCTCAGCAGCTTAAGCACCTGCCTTGCAAGCACAAGGTCCTGAGGTCAATACCCGGTGCCAAAAAATAATAAAATAAAAATTAAAAAAAAATTAAATCAAATTGGTGTGGAACTGAGGAAGAGCATCTGCAGTGACTCAGGGTGAAGAGAGGAAAGCAGTAAGCAAGCACGCTGGTTACTAGGGGCTGACGACAGGAAAGCAGCAGGATGAGCTGGGGAGGAACTACCACGAACAGGTGTGAGGTTGGGCAGCTGCCACTCTGCCTCCTGTGACTCAAAGACACTCAGCATCAAGTGAGAAGATGGAGAGAAAATCTAAATATATAAATTCATTACTTTTCCACCTCTTGGCAAACTACCTTCTTTCCTGTTTCTCTCAAACAAAATAATCTACAAGGCAATTGATTTAACATACTATTTCAGTCAAAATAGAAAAAAAAAATTGGAAGGAGAGAACTAACTCACTGAGAGCTGTGTTACTGACATAAATTTACTTGGTACATGGGAAATTCTCAGAAAATAATAAAAATGAAGTCACCAGGTTTTTTCCTTATGTCTTTTCACCTCAAATTTGGAGTGAAGACAAAGAAGTATGCAAGTAGATATGGCTACATACTTCACAGTCCCAAAGCTAGTAAGTTATATGGTTATAGCCATTCAAGCAGCATGATCTTGTGAGAAAATGTCCCTCAAATGGCAAAAGAAAAAACCACATTCAATGGAGAAAATGAACATGTAAAAACAACGGTGGATAGCAGATCAGTTAGGTATGTCAGGAAAAACAATATGCCTTTTCTAAGAATAGATTTCCTTACAACTTTCAAATAGGTTTCCCCTTACATGTATAAATCATACTTGACTTCTTTCCTAATGAGCATTAATCTTTCTGCATAAAAAAGAATTTTCAAACTACAAACACAAAGCACAGGACCTGACTCACATCTGTGTAGAAACATTTACTCTGTAAGAGAAAAAAACTCAAGAGCACAGTACACACCAGTTATTTATTTAAATACTTGAAAAGGTCAATGATGGAAAAAATAGGTTTATTGTGACAGTTTATATTCATTAGATTTATTTTATCATTTAAAAAAAAGTGCTGCCCCTAGGTCATCCTAGCCAGATAGAGAACACTTCATGACACATGCAGCTACTGTAATACTATAATAGACACAGCCATTATAGAATGATTTACAAGTTGGGAGGAATCTCAACAGTAGTAAGGGTAACTTGTTTATTTAAACTAAAAACATTGATAATATACAAATTGTTTTTCTTAATTGATTGAAAGGGTTATAAAATTCTACCTACAACATAATCACAGAGGAAGCAACATAATCACATAGATGACATATTTGCTAATTGCTTTTATGTTATTTCTTCCTTAAAGGAGAGCTGGGCACTCAGCTACATAATTTTCTAGACTGCATGATAGCTTCAAGGTTGGCCTACCATAAGTGACAGAAGAAAAGTTGTGTTGGTCATCTGACATTGACTCGTGGGTTTTCAGAAATGAAGAGAAGGTGGTGAATTGTGCCTTACGTACTTACAGAACCCAAAGAATCAATCTGAGTAAGCATGAAATAAATAAGTGGTCCATGAGTAAATACAATCTCTGGGCTAACTTAATCTAGGAGAGGGAGCCGGGTGAGCGCTAACAATACCATGTAGAAATGTCTAGAAACATAATTTTCTAGAACTCAGTTTGGGAGACCATGTCTTATCTGAATATACACATTATTTACAAAATATTCCCTTTTGGCCTTTGAAATTTAGCCATTTTTATTTGGCTATTAAGCTGTTTTCTTTCCATATGCCAGCCAATACTGCAGTTATTACTATCATTAAAATACTCTTATGCGTGAATTACAAACATTAATAAAGTAACTCTGCATGTATAAATATCTCAATATTCTAGCAGAATTTAAAGCATTCAGAATGTACATAAAAGTATTTGTTTTTGGTAGGGCCAGTAGTTTTGTTTTTTTTTTTAATCATCGCTGTTTCAATAATGCTTTATACATGGCAAAGCCCAAAACTGCAAAAACAGTAGCACCAAAACTTGCTCGAAGCCAAAACGTGGAACTCTTGAGGTCAGCTTGTGTCACATGCCTGTAGTCAGAAAATAGAATTAATTATTTAAAACACAATTAGTAGGAACACTTTATGCCAGTCCTATAATGGCCTATTGTAGGGAAGTATTAGCGCACTTGTCAGGCTAATTGCGTACAAAAACATTTACCAAGACAGCCATGTACACATTGCTCAGATAACCGTTATCTTAAGAAAATGACATACTGTAGACATCAGTAATGACAAATACCTTCATAATTAAACGCTACTTGGGAGCTGACATCTAAACATTTATAATTTTCTTTGCATGGGAAATGAAGTTAGAGAAATCAATCCACCACCTTTTAATACTACCATGGTCTTTCAAAATCAGAATTAAGCCTGGGTCCTCACAATTTTGAGGGTCATATTCAAGGACTATAAATAAGGTGCAATTTTTTGTCCCCAGGAATCAAAAGCTGTGTTGTAAGCAGTTAAGTGACAAGTGACAATACTTTTTAAGAGCAATGATTGAAGTCAACTTTGGAAACAGTGAGCCCCATAGACATTTACACCCCCAACACACAAAAAAGCCCAAAGGGGACAGGGGAAGATTTACCAGATTTCATTAACTTGGCTATTACTAATTAGAGAGAATAATAATAACAACAATCTTGATGTTAGTTAGACAGGCAGTGATAACAGTATCAAATAAAGGACCTAAATGTAACATGATGGACTAAAAGGTAATGACATAAAAGAAGCCATATAATGCATGACAAGAACAGGGACAGCCTATACCACAAACTGAGTTTGTGAGCATGCTCAGTTAATAACACTGCTAAGCACCCTCAAGAGTCTCAAGTATGACAGCTTACCATGAAGAGGATAAAGCTTTAAGCAAAGGCTGGAACATTTTATTCAAGTGTCACCAAAGTCTTAGTTAAGTGAACACAATTGAGGTGAATTAAGAATTAAGAGCTTAGAAAGCCCGTGTAGGTTATGCTATTTTACAACCAAGTTAAACAAACAGCTTGGAAGCGAAAGTCAGACATCATTAAAAGACCAAGACACTGACATATGCAAAAGAGTTAAGAGCCAAGAATTCAATTTGTACAAAACTACTTCAGTAATGTCACACAATAAGATTAGTTATCACAAAATGCAATCTATGAATCTTCAGAAATGGAAGTCTACTACACAAGCCAGCGCTCCATGCTCATCATCATGGCCAAGCAACACAGCACTCCAACTCTTCATCCTGACCAGTTTCTATTAAAAAACAAAAAAAAAAAACCCCTCTTTTTTACAAAACACAGAATTAACAGGTCATTCTATCTTGCAAGTTAGTTCTTCCAACAAACAATGTTTTATTTTTTAAAAAAGGGAAGAGGGTATTTCAGTTTTTCTAGTTGGGAAATCTCCAACAAGGCCACTGCATTGGCGGTGGTGGGAAATGTTACCTGGCTTCAAGAAAAAGTGGACCATGAGATGACTCCATGAAGATGGAATCTTCCACAGAGCTGACCGCGTGCACCTGGTGAGTGACACTGCCTTCGTCGTCTGCTAACAGCATCGCACCCCATTCAGCTACCTGGGCTCTTAACCTTTCACACATGCACACAGTTTGGAGTTCACAGCAAAGAAAGGGACTCAAAATAGCATGTCTCAATTAAACACCCCACACATATGTTGGGTTGCCTCCCTATATGATGGGTCTCATGCTTTCTATATTTAAAGTGAATGACAGATTTAAAGTAAATGTATTCTATGGCAGATTGCCCAACTGACTCTCTCTCTCTCTCTCTCTCTCTCTCTCTCTCTCTCTCACACACACACACACCATGGCATGGTAACATACACATGTAATCCTAGCATTCAGGAGGCTGAGGCAAGAGGATTATTGCAAGTTTCAGACCAGCCTAGTCTACAAAGTGAGTTCAAGGCCAGCCTGAACTGCATAGCAAGACTCTGTCTAAAAAAACCTGAAACCACTCTTTAAACATTCACATGCTAGACAAGGAAACCTAAACAAGTTGCTCATGTTCTCTACACAGTATGTCCTTGAGGCTGTTCTTACATATCTGAAACACTGAAAGAAGTCCTTAAACCGGTACCATAAGCAGTACCGACAAATTGTTATAATCCTAAGTATTCAGCTGAAATGGAGCACTGATTATTAGTTATGAAGTTTATAGATGCTTATATCCAGACTATTAAAAGTACAGTAGCTGTAAAAAAGTGATCCAACATGTCAAACTCATGGACCACCAAGGACCTGTGAGAGTAATGAAGCACCTCTCCAACAGAGACGGACAGAGCTCAAAGAGGGAACACAGCTAACAGCGCATGAGGGCTTCTGCTTCAGCTCTGCTCACCTTCTGTGGGTGGTACGTGGTATAGAACCCAGACCCAGATCTTTTTAGGATTTTTATGTTTATTATTTAACTTAGGGGGAGAAAAGGATTAGGATCAAAGTCATAATATTAAAATCAATCAAAAGACATCTCAGAAATATGTATCAAATAAGGGCATCTGTTTTACACAGTTCCCTTTGCTGCCTTTTAGGAAAGTATTATCATTCATTAAGTAAAATTCTGTTTTGGAGACAGTGCCTCACTATGTAGTCCAGGCTCACCTTGAACTCACAATCCTGTCTCAGTCTCCCAAATGCTGGTACACAGGCACACACTGCCGCACCCGGCTATGTATTCTGACAGATTTTGTGGTTTAATATTTTCCTGTATTTTAAGATAGTAATTATTATTTTCCCCAAGTTCTCCCTTCAATAGGCAAAACTGGAGTAGACATTTATATATTAAAAAACAGCACAAATGGGTGCTGAAACTACAGTCAGTTTAAAACTTAAGGCACTATTTACTCCTAAGATATTTCAATGACTCTATCAATGTTATAGATGACACTGAAAGCTACTTAGAAAACTATGCCTTTACCTGACTTTCACACCCCCACCCCCACCCCTTGTTTTGTGAGAAAGGGTCTCTCTAGGTAGTAGTTCTGGTTATTCTCAAACATGATCCTCCTGCCTTAGTCTCCTGAGTGCTGGGATTATAGGTGTCCACCACCACATCAGGCCTCCTTAACATTCAAAAGTTGCAATACCAGACTCTATTTATGAGAAGACATTTATAATGGATGACATACTTGTAACTTCTCAGGTAACAGGCATCACCTGAATACAGATTAGTGGAATCTTAAACATATTTAGTAAGTATCAAAAACTGATTGACATTTGTTACTTCAGGGATCAAACAGTACCAGTTTTATAAACTCGTACCTACCTTTAAATTCAAGACTTTTTCCACATTTAAAATTTTAATTCTTTTAAAATTACTTATTTAGCCAGGCATGGTGTTGCACACTTGTAATTGTAGCACTTGGGAGGCTGAGGCAGAAGGACCACTATTTGAGGCCAGCCTGGGCTATAAAGTGAGTTCCAGGCCAGCCTGAACTGCATAGTAAGATTCTGTCTCAAAAAACACAATCAAACATTCATATAAAATATCATCGTAGAATTAAATTGCACAGCTTTTTTTTTTTTCTTTTCCCTTTTAGTAAGGGTCTACAAGGTCTCACTGTGAAGACAGGACTCACAGTGATCTGCCTGCATTCAGCCTCCCAAGAACTGGGCTTACAGGCATGTGCCACCATGCCTGGTCTCAGTCGCCATCTCAGCGCACCCCAGGGGCAGAGCCAGCACGGCATGCCAGGGATCAAACCCAGCTGAACCCCAGCCGCTGCACCCCAAGATCTGCTTATGTAGGCACTTTAATCTGCTGAGCCATTTGGCCGCCCCCCTCTTTTTTTTTTTTTTGGACTGGCTCAAGCTGCGTTAAGGGCGAGTCTGGTGGGGCATGTGGCGCTGGGGATCGACCTACAGTCCTTTACACCTGAGTTTGCCCAAGCAGGCACTTTAATCTGCTGAGCCATTTGGCCGCCCCCCTTTTTTTTTTTTTTTTGGACTGGCTCAAGCTGCGTTAAGGGCAAGTCTGGTGGGGCATGTGGCGCTGGGGATCGACCTACAGTCCTTTACACCTGAGTTTGCCCAAGCAGGCACTTTAAACTACCAAGCTAACCTACAAGCCCCCCAACACAGCTTTTTGAAGTTTACTTTCATTTCAGTAATAAAAAAGGTAATGTATAATCATTAGAAAATAAAATGGCAAGCTTCCTTTTAGACTCTTGGGGAAAGACTATGGTACTAGAGAATGAACTCAGGGCCTTGGCATTGAGTTACATCCTCAGCCCTTTTTTAAGACAGGGTATCCCTAAATTGCTCAGTTCCCCAGGTTGGCTTCAAACTTGTAATCCTCCTGCTTCAGCCTTCCAGAATGATGGGATTAAGGCATATGCCACCATGCCTAACTCTATGCATTTTTACGCAGCTTCACATATAGTATGTATACTTTATATATAACTCAGTATTGGAATTTTTCCATAGATTGTGGAAATACTTTATATATGGCTACGTTATATTCCATCCAATTCCTGGTTATCTCCATTTACTGGTAATTATAAATAAAGAGATGAATATTTCTCTTTATAACATTTTTCACTCTAGCCAGGCATGGTCACGCATGCCTATAATCCCAGTACATAAGAGGCTGAGGCAAGGGGGTTGACATGAGTTTCAGGCCAGCCTGGGGTACATAATGAGACACTGTTTCAAGAACAATATAAAAGATCTTTTGCTCTATTTAGCTTATTTTCCTTCAGACTTGCCAGACATGAATATTACAGGATCAAAAAGTGGATGGGGTTGTATGTAGAGACATTCTCTTTTTTTTGTTGTTTTTTTTGTTTTTGGTACTGGGGATTGAACTCAGGATCTTGTGCTTGCCGAGCAGGCACTTACACCGCTGAGCTATCTCCCTGGCCTTGAAAGATTCTTTAACCTAGCGATACATCAGAATCATCAAATATTCCAAATGATCTATTTGGAATAAGATCATTTAATTCAGCAATATCTCTTTTTAGAACTGAAGAAATATTAATGCTGGGATATAACCCCAATTAATCCTTTGCAGCTTGTCAGAGAT